AGGAAGCCATCAGCCAAATATGAAGATTCTATACCTTTTAGTTCTTTAGAAGAAGTCGTTTGAAGTTTTTGACATATTTGACCCCTGTGACCTTGAAAACAGGTCAAGGTCATTTTCGTTCTCAAACTTTGTAGGGCTCCTACCAACGAAGCTTTCAGCCAAATATCAAGACTCTAGGCCTGTCCGTTCTTCAGAAGAAGTTGTTTAAAGGAAAAGTTGACGGACGAGGACGGATAGATGACGGACGCCGCGCCACGGCATAAGCTCACTTGGCACTTCGTGCCAGGTCAGCTAACAAGAGAACCACAGGGCCTGTGCCAATCATCTCTTATATAACAGTGTTGGCAAAATAAACATTAAAAGCTGAGCTAATAAAATCAGTCAATCAAGAAGCTTAGCAGTCATACTAGTTCTCATATCTGTGTGTGAGGCCAGTGTGTTGCCATGGATGCACAAGTAATACAGAAGAGTTCGTAAATCATGGATGCATTATTGCTTTCAGTTGGACCAGTGCACCCTCGTCCTCATACTCAGTAAAACAAATTAATGTACTGCTTGACAGTGGATAATTAAATTTGCTCACAAATATTTTGCAGCAGTTTTCAAAATATTTTTATTGTTTGCAAATTCTCCGATTTTGTGGCAACTTCTGGCCTGATAATAGTCAGATATGGTGTCATTGTTCTGGCTGTTAATTTTTCAAATGTCAAACTATTGCTTCCAGATATTAACATCTACTATTTATTGATATACACCAACTGACATGCAATCCATTATGTTCCATATGTGAGAAAACTTGGCCCAATGAGATTATCAATTTACTGACAAAGTGTTAAGAGTATAATGTCTATTGCTGTCACATGATCAATAGCAAGGGGACATCACCAAGCTATGTCAGCGAAAGTGACCGTACCACAGACATAAACACAAGTAAAAATAACATGTTAATTATTTTAACAAGCCATTTGGATTGATATGTCTCGCCTATTCCTCGCTTTGACCATCAATGCACAAATCAGAGAAACTAATTTAAATGCAAAACCTTAATGTTGATGGAGATGCTGACAAAGTCAATGAACCATGAAAGGTAGGCCATATCCAGCATTCGATGCATGGGTTGGGATGTACTACCTAAGATGCATCTATGGTCCAAGTTTGGTTGGTCTAGCACTTATACTTTCAGTGAAACTAACTTAAACACAAAAACTTGATGTTGACGCATCGCGCCAGCGCTGGAAAAGCAACACCTTAGTCTCGCTTCCACTTCGTGGCAGCAAGAGAAAAATGGAATGCACTATTTTAAAATTTCACTAGGCAGTAAAACATTTGCTGTCAAGCACAATGCATTAAACCCCTGTGACTTTGAAGCAAATAAGAGTCTTTTATTATGAACAAACCTGATAGTCCTTCATTCTCAAAAGCTAAAACTTACATATTGTTGCTCTAGACCCTATGGAGCTTTACAAAAGATGTCATTTTTTTTTTTATCATTTCACACCTGTAACTTTGAACATTGGTCAAGGTCACAGATAATGAACAAAAATATGAAAGTCCTTCATCCGAGCAAGCAACGAGCCAAATTTCATTACTCTAGACCTTCTATATTATAAGAAGCAATAATTTGATTTTTTTTCCCAGCATATTTCACACCCATGACCTCGGCAGTTGGTCAGGGATTTATTATCAGCAAACTAGAGTCTTTCAACACGGCAAGCTAGAAGCCAAATATTATTGCTCTATAGACCTTATAGATATTTAGAAGCGATTTGAAAGTTACATTTGAAATAAAATAATTTCTCACCTGTGACATTGAGAAGCTTGTCAAGGTTATTTATTATGAACAGACTTGATGGTCAACTAAAAAGACACATTAAGCACTTAGGATACGTTTTTGCGTCACTATTAACGTCATAGTAATTATGTCTCCAAATGGCGTCAATTATAATTCTATTTCAGAGTGTTTGTACAGGTGTCTATCCTGGTCAGACCCTCGCTCTATCTCAGTCGTCCATAACTAATCCATTAACCAGCCCGACTGTGTACACAAAGTGTGCAATATTTTGCAAATATCCCCATGCTCCAGTCCTCAAATGATATTGTGGTGGCTAAATCCCCCTAGAGCTACAGCACCACGCTGCCAATACTTCAGTCTAGTCCTGTCTACTAAACCCATGCAGTTTTCTAAGGAATTCTTCATTTTCATGTTATAATTGACAACGAAAAACAGATGATGGGTCTTTATACACTCTGTTATGCTGTCTAGGTATCTGTTAGTGACGTTGAATTCCATGTCTCGAAAAATTCTGTGACATGTGACCGACAGTTGATAATGCTACTCTGATAATAATAGGACGTTGTTAAACAAATACAAATAAGGAGTGTGTCTGTAAGTGAATATGACGTGGTAGTAATCAGGTGGAGGGTAC